TCTGTGCACAAATTCCGTGCACCGGGCCTCGTGTATATAATAAACCCTAATATGCAAATAGACCGAATGGCAGAACAACCGAACAACTGGTCACTATGACATGCTCTGACCGCCCGGGGGTGCACGCGGAACATAGTGGTCATCGGCAACAGGCAGCAGAGAACAGACCATGGCAGGCATCGGCCGTGGTGGGATGGTGAAGCAGGTAAGTAGGGGTGCCAGACCAAGGCAGGGCACCGGTCACTGTCATTGGGGCGAGCCTCTGATGGTTACTGAATATTCTTTGCTCCTGTGCACCGCGGTCCTGCCTGGCACTCACACCTGCTGCTGGTGCCGGAGCTGCCGCTAGCACCCACTGCTGGCTTAGGCCGCCAGTCGGACATCCCCCAAGGGCTCCTGACTGCAAGAGGGTGCAGGCCAGGCTGAGGGAACCCCTCCCGTCAGTGCACGAAGTTCATGCACCAGGCCTCTAGTCCTTCATAAAATGAAGGAGCAGTAGGACTTCTGTAAATAAACAAAACCTCAGGTAGTCACCCATGGACCTGTCCTACAAGAAATGCTAAAGGAAACCTTCAGTCTAGAATGAAAAGACCATATACATTACTCAAAGCCATAAGAAGAAATAAAGAACACCAATAAAGGTAACTACCTGAGTAAACGGAAAAGCTAGTAAATCTTGTTTATAAATCTTATTTTATTTTCTATATGATTTAAGAGATGAATGCATAAATTAATAATTATAAATCTATGTAATGGCCACACATATATAATAGATGTAATCTGTGATAATTTGAACATAAAATGGGGACAGAACTATATAAGAACATAGATTTTGAATTCTATTGAAGCTAAATTGCTATTCATTCAAACTAGGTTGTTATAAATTTAAGATGTTAATTTTAATCACCAGTATAACCACTAAGTAAAAACAAAATACAGAAAAGTAAATAAGAAGAGAATCAAAATAGTATGTTAGAACAAAGAAACAGTAAAGAAGGCAGTATAGAGGAATTGTGGAAAGAAAAAAAACCAACATAAACAAATAGCAAAATGGCAGAAGTAATCAGTAACTGTTTTAAATGAAAACAGATTAAGCTCTCCAATTAAAAGGCAGAAATGGCAGAATGGTTTAGAAATATGATCCAACTATACTCTACCTGTGTACCTCCCTCCTTCTCCAGTATTCTGCAATGCAAACCACTGAGTCTTGGTTTCCATTTTCTTAATTCAGGAAGTCCTTTTATTTCTTTCCTGAGCTGCAGCTGGAGACTCTCAAGCAGTAAGCTGGGAAACCATAGGGCTCACTTCTTTTTTCTCTTAGGTCCAAATTCATGAAAACTGCTTTTTTGTGTTTTTTTTGTTCATACTGTTTGGTATTTTAGTTATTACATGAGAGAGTAAGTCCAGTTCCCATTACTCCATCTTGGCTGGAAGCAGAAGCCAGTTTTTATAAAAAAAATGTTTTTATCTATAAAAGTTTTATAATGGCTTAGGGATTAATTTTTTAACTCATTCAATTTTATTAAACTTTGGTTTTCACTAATTACTCTATAAACTGAAGTAATACAATAACCTTATAATAGTCCAAGAAAAAAATTATTTCTTTGGCCTTTAAAAAAACATATTAATGACAAACATATTAATGAAAAAGACATTCTAGGTTTTTTTTAGCATACTATAAAGGGCTTTATAATACTCTATTTTTAAAATATATTTTATTGATTTTTTTTTTTTACAGAGAGGAGGGGAGAGGGATAGAGACTTAGAAACATTGATCAGCTGCCTCCTGCACACCCCCTACTGGGGATGTGCCCGAAACCAAGGTACATGCCCTCGACTGGAATCAAACCTGGGACCCCTCAGTCCGCAGGCTGACGCTCTATCCACTGAGCCAAACCAGTCAGGGCTGCTTTATAATACTCTTAATGAATAAAGTAATTTTTTACCTTTTCTCTTCCTATGAGTAAGAGCAAAAAATAATTTTGTATGTGCTGTCAAATATCCATTGCCAGTAAGCTATTTTTCATGTGTCAAGAAAATACTACCACATGCACTAGGTCAATTATGGATTTATATTAATTACAGCTGTTATAGTAGTAAAAAAAGAAAGGTTGGGCAGGCATTCTAATTACTGATCTAGAAACAGAACAACTAGAAATGTAGTTCTAAGTTTTCTTTAAAAAATAAAACTTCTTGATCTAAAAACATTAATTTATATAGCAGAAAACTTATATTTGTATATATTTTAGGTTTAATGAAAATAATTTTGTGCGTCTGTGTCTGTAATTGGTCTCCTCCTCCGAAAACAGCTTTAGATTCGAAACACGAAACAGCTTTATATTTGAAACAGGGAAACTGCCTTTGGGAATGTGAAAATACTGTTTTCGATCCCTGTCTGGTCTAATCCACGGATGCAAACCTGCAGATATAAAGGGCTGACAGTATTTATTGGGGAAAAATCCACATGTAAGTGGACCCACACTACTCAAACAATGTTGTTCAAGGGTCAATTCTATTACCTCACAGTTTCTTTTTAGCTGGAACTGGGTCCCTGATTTCTTGCTAGTTGTTAGTAGGAACTGCTCGCAGCTCTTAGAAGTCACCCTCAGGTCCTAGCCACAAGGCCCTTCACAACATGGCAGCTACTTCTACGAGGGCAGGAATTTTTCTCTCTAGTCTGCTAAGAAGTCTTAGGTCCTAACAATGAAAGGAATGATTCAACTACCACCTTTGCCATTTAAGGAGAGTGATGATTCCATCAGATTCCTCACAGGACTGGTCACACTAAAAGACCGAGGAGTATACAGGATGTATACTCAAGGGCGCAGGAATCTTAGGGCCATCTTAGAATTCTGCCTACAACATTTTGCATTAATTTTAATCTTATTTTTAGGAAAATAGGATTAAAGATTTATGTGGAAGCTGAGCTCTTACATTTTTCTTGGTACTATTTCTATTAATATCTTTAAAATCATTGGCTAAGATAGCGGGAGGACTTAAGGAGTAATGGAAAGAAAGTGATGTTTATTGATTACTAATACATGCCAGGTTCCTTTACTTCATAGTTTATTCCGTATCAGTGGAAATAATTGCATCTGAACTAAGGAGGTACTATAAGAAACATGTTAGCCAAATCAAATAGTAGAGTATTATTAAGGTTCTCAAGTACAGTTAAGAAAATTACATGATGATAACAACTGTCATTAAGTTGAAAGGCTAAACTAGTATTTCAAATTTCTCCTTAATGTGTGATTGGGTATGCTTTTGATGGTCTTGGAAAAAAAATACTCAACACTTCCCAGTGTAATGAACTTTTTTTAAAAAAAGCAAGACAGATTTAATTACACAGAATTTAAAACAAACTAGCTTATGTAACTAAATTCAATGACCTAAAATATTTCTCCTAAATCATGCTGCATGTATTTTATAAATCTATTAATAAGATTTATTCCAGGATGGTGCCATACATATTTATATGTACTCTAGTACATAATCATAGTCGAATCTTTCATCATCTAGAACAGCGGTTCTCAACCTGTGGGTTGAGACCCCTTTGGGGGGTGAATGACCCTTTCACAGGGGTCGCCTAAGACTATCGGAAAACACATATATAATTACATATTGTTTTTGTGACTAATCACTATGCTTTAATTATGTTCAATTTGTAACAATGAAAATATATCCTGCATATCAGATATTTACATTATGATTCATAGCAGTAGCAAAATTACAGTTATGAAGTAGCAACGAAAATAATTTTATGGTTGGGGGTCACCACAACATGAGGAAGTGTATTAAAGGGTCACGGCATTAGGAAGGTTGAGAACCACTGATCTAGAAGATCAAATATAGCTAATATTGCTTGAAAAATAGGTACTACAAAGGGTTTTAGAATTAAGAAACATTTTAACCACATTTAAACTCAAAGATTACTTAACCTAACTTTCATCTTGAAGCAACAAGAAGTTTGAAGTACTGTCTTTGTTCAGAGCAATCAAGATAATATCAAATAATTTCAGTTTTCAAAAATGATTTTATTAAATATTTAAAGGCTTGAATTAAAGTCCTTGGCAATGTAGTGATGCTAGAATATTTGTAGCAAATTATAAATACAAGTTGAAAACTAAAAATAATGACAGCTATTTTTAATTGCTTCTTCTCTGTTACATAAGTATAGAATGACTACACAGCTGAAAAACTACAAATATGAAACAAACATTAGAGAAATAACTGACTCATAAGATAGAAACACCTAAATTATTTCACTGGTGTAAAAATGCACTAAAATTTTATTCATGGATAAGATATCCTGATAATAACATAGGCTTAAAGTTCAAAAAAGAATTTCTATACCTTCTTTTATAAATCCCTTATAAAATTTTCAAGATGCTTTTTGGCCTAAAATGCTTGATTCTTGTCTAGGCCAGATAAATATTTTGGGAAACTGGAAGAAAAATTGTATTTCATATTTGTTTGAGATATCTCAATACGGTTGGAAAAAGAAAATATTTTCCTCATTCTTACTTGGGCATTTTGCACTCATTCACACATGGCATAAATTTAAACTTTGAATTGGCATGTATGAAGTCCTCTATGAAGGAATCACAGTCCAGAAATAAATGCTGGCACTTTTTTATTTCTGAGGCAGAGCACAAAACATTTGCAGTACCCTGTTTCCTTAGGGGTGAACTAGGCACCACTCATTCCAGCCCGGTGTTTGCACTTGTACTCAAAACCCAACTCAACACATGTTGACAAGTGAGATAGCATTTGAAAGCTCTTTACAAGAAAGCAAACTAAATGCATAATTCCTATAAAGTTAAAAATATCTATGAGGACCAGAAAGCTAGAATCACAAAGAACTCAATTATTTCCAGCAATGGCAAACTGATTAATATACACCAACTCTTTCACTAAAAACTAGAAAAGCTGGGCAAAACAAAAACCTGAATGCTAACCAGGCAGTGACAAATTACAGGACTGTGGAGAAGTAAACTTACACAGGTAATTCTAGCATTTGGGGCTGCTTTTCCCAGAGGGTCATCTGCTGACGAGCCAATTCCAAAATTCAGACTTGAGCAGAGCTTTCGAAAGACTCACAAGAAAAGGGGACCAAAGCTGGAGGCAGGAGTTCAGGGTCTACGAAGGAGAAAGGTCCTGGCTTTGGATGGGCCACACTCTGAAAAAAGATGAATGAGAATAATCTGGAACTGAATGCATCTTCAAAATCTCAAGACCTTTCTAGATCCAAGTGATCCAGGATCATGAGTACTCCTACTTTCCTTCCCCAAGCAAAACGAAATCATCCTCCCTGAAATAATCTCTATTTTTCACATACAGTGCCAATATATAAAATAACAACTAGGTATACTAGGAAAGAAATCAACATAACAAAACATTCAACACCCATTTTTGATAAAAGCTCTCAGCAAGGTGGGAGTAGAAGGATCATACCTCAACATAATAAAAGCCATATATGACAGGCCCACAGCCAACATCATACTCAATGGACAAAAACTAACACCATTTCCCCTAAGAACAGGAACAAGACAGGGATGCCCCCTCTCACCACTCCTGTTCAACATAGTACTGGAAGTGTTAGCCATTGCAATTCGGCAAGAAGAAGAAATAAAAGGCATCCAAATTGGAAAAGAGGAAGTAAAACTGTCCTTATTTGCAGACGACATGATATTATACATACAAAACCCTAGAGACTCCATCAAAAGCTACTGGACTTAATACATGAATTTGGCAATGTAGCAGGATACAAAATTAACCCCAAGAAATCCGAGGCATTTCTATACACCAATAGTGAACTTTCAGAAAGAGAGATTATAAAAACAATCCCGTTTACCATCGCACCAAAAAAATTAAGCTACCTAGGAATAAACTTAACTAAAGAGGTAAAAGACCTCTACTCAGAAAACTACAGGACGTTGAAAAAAGATATAGAGGAAGACATAAACAGATGGAAGAACATACCGTGTTCATGGATTGGTAGAATCAACATCATTAAAATGTCCATACTACCCAAAGCAATCTATAAATTCAACGCACTTCCCATTAAAATACCAATGGCATACTTCAGAGATCTAGAACGAACTCTCCAAAAATTCATCTGGAATAAAAAAAGACCTCGAATAGCTGCAGCAATCCTGAAAAAGACCAAAGTAGGTGGGATCTCAATACCAGATATCAAGATGTATTACAAAGCCACTGTTCTCAAAACTGCCTGGTACTGGCACAAGAATAGGCATATAGATCAATGGAATAGAATAGAGAGCCCAGAAATCGGCCCGAACCAATATGCTCAATTAATATTTGACAAAGGAGGCAAGAACATACAATGGAGCCAAGATAGTCTCTTCAATAAATGGTGCTGGGAAAATTGGACAGATATATGCAAGAAAATGAAACTAGACCACCAACTTACACCATACACAAAAATAAACTCAAAATGGATAAAGGACTTAAATGTACGACAGGAAACTATAAAAATTCTAGAAGAATCCAAAGGCAACAAAATCTCAGACATATGCCGAAGCAATTACTTCACTGATACAGCTCCTAGGGCACTTGAAACTAAAGAGAAAATGAACAAATGGGACTACATCAAAATAAAAAGCTTCTGCACAGCAAAAGAAACCATCAACAAAACAACGAGAAAACCCACTGTGTGGGAAAACATATTTGCCAATGTCATATCCGATAAGGGCCTAATCTCCAAAATTTATAGGGAACTCATACAACTTAACAAAAGGAAGATAAACAATCCAATCAAAAAATGGGCAAAGGACCTAAATAGACACCTTTCAAAAGAGGACATTCAGAAAGCCAAGAGACATATGAAAACATGCTCAAAGTCACTAATCATCCGAGAGATGCAAATCAAAACAACAATGAGATACCATCTCACACCTGTCAGACTGGCTATCATCAACAAATCAACAAACAACAAGTGCTGGAGAGGATGTGGAGAAAAAGGAACACTTGTGCACTGCTGGTGGGAATGCAGACTGGTGCAGCCACTATGGAAGACAGTATGGAGTTTCCTTAAAAAACTGAAAATGGAACTCCCATTTGACCCTGTGATCCCACTTCTAGGAATATATCCCAAGAAACCAGAAACACCAATCAGAAAGGATATATGCACCCCTATGTTCATAGCAGCACAATTCACCATAGCTAAGATCTGGAAACAGCCTAAGTGCCCATCAGTAGATGAATGGATTAGAAAACTGTGGTACATCTACACGATGGAATACTATGCTGCTCTAAAAAGGAAGGAACTCTTACCATTTGCAACGTCATGGATGGAACTGGAGAGCATTATGCTAAGTGAAATAAGCCAGTCAATGAAGGAAAAATACCACATGATCTCACTCATTCATGGATAATAGAGACCATTATAAACTTTTGAACAATAATAGATACAGAGGCAGAGCTGCCTCAAACAGATTGTCAAACTGCAGCAGGAAGGCCGGGGAGGCTTGTGGGGCAGGAGGTAGGGGGGTAAGAGATCAACTAAAGGACTTGTATGCATGCATAGAAGCATAACCAGTGGACATAAGACATTGGGGGATAGGGGAGGCTAGGGGACTGTCTAGGGCGGGGGGATAAAATGGACACATATGTAATACCCTTTGTAATACTTTAAGCAATAAAAAAAAAAAAAAAACAAAAAAAAAAAAAAATTGTAATAAAAAAAAATTGTAATAAAAAAAAAAAAGGATTATCAATTGTGCACATGCATAAACACTGCTTTTATTATATTATGTTTTCTCCAAGTTAAAACATAATTCTTTCTGATGTGATTATTTTGGGATCTTTGCAATATGGCTGTGCTTCCATAAGGAAAGAGTTTGCACTGTGTGTTATAACACAATAAAATGGTTCCAACATCAAGAAAAAAAAAAAAAAAAAAAAAAAACATAACAAAACAGAGGAACCAGATAATCCAGTTGTCAAAGACTTTAAAATAAGTATATTTTATACAAGAAAATCAGATAAGATTGAGAATTTTGTCAGAAAATTAGAAAAAAGGGAATCAAGAAAATTTGCAGCCAGACTGGAAATACAACTAAATTGGAGAACATTCACCTGGAATTACCAACTGAGGTCCCGCTGAGGAGGAGACTTATATCAAGGAAGGACAGAAAACACCTGAAGACTGGTAGGAAGGGCAAGATCACCAGAGGAGCTGACTCAGCTTCCAGGGGTGGCAGGCTGAGAGTGAGGAGGGAGCTCTCAGTTACAGGCAGGCCTGTTCCCTCAGAAGATAGGGGCCCAGAACCCAGGTTGGGCTCCACAGCCTGAAGCACCACGGCTGAGACTCGTGGCCCACGTAACATCCAGCCATGAAAGGAAGCAGGGCTGCTGGCCACAGTGGAGTCTGGAGACTGGAGACTGGAGCTGTAGGAGAGAAAGCTGCAATTTCATTTTTTGTTTGTTTATTAGTTTGTTTAAACCCAGAGCACAGGAGTTTTCATTTGCAGCTACTCATCACAGGCTTTGGTGCAGGGATAGAGGCAAGGACTTTAGGTGCCTAAGGAGGGGCTGTGGTGGGGAGCATTGTGGGACAGGTGGAAAAGCAGCAGCCAGGAGTATTAGGTCTTAGCCCCCAAACCCAAAGGGCCATTGTTACTGAGAGGAGCTAGCTGCTCCCAGCAGTTGGAGGGCAGGTAAAGGAAAAATAAAACCACCCTAGGTTAGTAGTTGGCAAACTGCAGCTGGAAAGCCACATGCGGCTCTTTGGCCCCTTGAGTGTGGCTCTTCCACAAAACACAACGTGCAGGCGCGCACGTACAGTGCAATTGAAACTTCGTGGCCCATGCGCAGAAGTTGGTATTTTGTGGAAGAGCCACACTCAAGGGGCCAAACAGCCACATGTGGCTCGTGAGCCGCAGTTTGCCGACCACAGCCCTAGGTGATACAGCCTGCCTCACCCACATGTTCCTTGCATGCCACACTTTGCATTTTGAGCTTTTCAGAGGAAACAAAAGCATAGGCTAAGCTTAAGGGTTTGAAGGGTCTCAAGGAGCCCTCAGTGACTGGATTGGGGTTAGGACATCTGCCACAATATCCTGGGAGCCAGACTGATATTTTGCCTGCACAGGAGAACTGATAAAAACTTCAGGTTTCCAGCCCACCCCATTGGTCTCAAAACAAGGATCTCTGTCCAGCCAAGAGCAGAATAGCTATGGGACAGGGAATCACACCCACCATATTCCCTGAAAGATAAACAGCACCCCTCACCCCCACCTAAAGCCCATTCAGAAACAGACTATTGAGTGATTAAGATAGACAGCTGGCTACCAGGCAAAGGCAGGCAGAGGTGGAGCCTGGGGAACCAGGGAAAAATTCCTGACCCAGCCCTGGGCCTCATGCTACTAACAAACTACTTTAGAGGACAGATTGGCCACTCCTGCTTGCAGCCAAGGCCTGTGGAGACAGAACCAAGCAGTGGATCAGTGAATCACTTGAAGCATCACACAGGTTGCCAAAAGACAGTGCTTGACAATGGTTAGCACCTAAGCACCAAACAGGAAGCCCAGAATTGGCAGATAGAACATGAACTTAAAAATCAACTACAATAAAAAACAATCAAACACATGGAGGCTAAATAGCATGCTATTAAACAATAAATGGGTTACCAAAGAGATCAAAGAAGAAATAAAAAAAACATCCTGGCAACAAATGAAAACAAACACATAACAATGCAAAATCTCTTGGACACAGCAAAAGCAGTCCTGAGAGGGAAGTTCATAGTACTATAAGCCTATGTCAAAACAAACAAACAAACAAAAAAAAACCCCCAAAACAGGAAAAGTTAATAATAAACTATTTAACCCCACAACTTAAAGAATTAGAAAGTGAACAACAAGAAAAGCCCAGAGTAAGTAGAAGGAAGGAAATAAAGATCAGAGTGGAAATAAATGACATAAAGACTGAAAAAAAAAAAAACAATATAAAAGATCAATAAAACCAAGAGCTGGTTCTTTGAAAACATAAACAAGATTGATGAACCTCTAACCAAAATCATCAAGAAACGAATAGAGAAGACCCAAGTAAACAAAATCAGAAATGAAAGAGGTAAAGTAACAAGTGACCCCACAGAAATACAAAGGATCATAAAAAAAATACCATGAACAACTATATTCCAACAAACCGAACAACCTG